TTTCGCAGTGAAATTATAAAAAAAAGTGCAAAACTAATCTTGCTGATTGTTTGATATCTTATCATGCACACAATATCCAAATATCGCGATGGTACGATGCAAATTCCTATAATGACAAGGGAAAAGGATAAAGCAACCTAAGTCTGAAAATCTTTAAATCGTGCTCCTGAAAAAGTAAGAAAACAGGGATACGCCCTTTGGTGTGATAGACGACGAACTACTTACATGTGTGTGTGTCTCTTCATGCTACTCCAGGAAGTTTATTGTTTAAGCTTCCAGGACGTATTCCTCTGCCACAAAGGCTCTCACTTTGTGTCTATGTATGTAGACAGACCTACGTACTGTCTCCCCTTTACATGTGCATGATCACAGACCTATGTCTTCTCGAAAAAAAATTTTTTTAGTTTCAGTTGAATTGACATGAAATCTCTGTCATCCAGGCTCTCATTTCATGTGGTTACATGACACAAACCTTTGTATTCTCTCCAGGGAGCTTACACACTCCTAAATATTTCTTTTGGTTGCCTGCATCCTCAGCTGAGACCAGGTCATCCGTCAGAAAACCTGGGGGATAAAATTGCAAAAAAATATTCAACTATGTATTTTCTGAAAATGGAAGAAACGCATCCACATGATGATGTACAGAAAAAATGCAATAAAAAATGCAATGCAGACAGAGATGACAAAGAGCCAAGACAAGAAGTGGGGACTATCACTGGTAGCCTCCAATCCCTCACTGCCATTAAGTTCATAGCACAACACTTTAGTCTTTACAAAGATAAAATAAGAGACTACAAAGGTTTCAGGTGTGATGTGGCCTTCAAGAACTGGGAAAAAGTTAGCACACTTTGTAGTTTTGAGCAAAGGTAAAACAGTGTCTGGGTTTGGGTTTTTTTTTTTATCGTGTTTTAGAAATAATATTTACATCCACCCATTCCCAGATATCTCACATGATATATTTATTTTTTGAAAGTCACTTGTGGAAACAATAATTATAGAATCTTGTTTTAAAAAAAACTGGTTTGTGACACACAACACAAAAATTTACTTTACAAATTTCCTAGTGTAAGACTCCGCCATTCGTCATTTTGAAAAGGGATGTATGACAAGAGTCTTATACTATGCAGTCGATATATATATATACAGTAAAATAAAAGGCAAAAATGCAGATATTTTACACACCCATCCAAAAAACTTAAATAAAACTGGAGGTAGGCTGCTTTAACACTGCCTGTCAAGGCCGACTGCTGTTGACAGGGATACAACGTCCTTGCTAATAAACAGCACTTACAATCTATATTATTACCCCAGCAGACTGTTTAACACTGACAAACATGCTCGGCTTTCCCGGGAGCATACAGTGCAAGCAGCCGATTAAGCTCTCAAACACTCACAAACTGACAAGATCTTTTGTTGTCTATAGTCAGGTATCTATTCCCACGCGGGAAAAATCAGGAAAATTCTTGTCATGTGTCTTTCATAATTTCATAAGAACATAACCTTTGGCCCCTCACAAGGTTCAAACCCACGACCTTTCTGTTGTGAACCCAACAGCCTAACAAAAAATACCACTTTTTTTTTCTCCTTTCCAGAACATTTTCCCAAGAGTATAACATGCAAGTTTCAATCTGTATCCAAGCTACTCTCTACTCTGTCCAGAAAAAAAACACTCCCTGACCCGAGTCCTTCAGCTTTGCCAGCAGCTTGGAGAAGAGTCCTTTGTGAGACCGGCCATCTGGGTGGGTGACGAGGACATCCACGTCACCACACGTGGCCTTGCCTCTACGGTAAGAGCCGCACGCTTGGGCTACCACGCCCTCCTGGATGCTCTCCGCTGCCTCTCTCACCTGTGTAAGCCAGCAGTTGAATTTGAGTTTTTTTAGTTTTAGTAGAACTTTTACGGCGCTTGTAACTGCATAAGGTCATATGAGCGCTCGAAGATTAAAGGTGTTACAAGAGAGTAGCAAACATAAAAAAGGAGGGGAGATAAGGATGATAGTTGTTTGATAGGAAAGAAGGAGCAAACCACACCAGAGCACCTGCCAACCACCCACGATTTGAGTTTGTTGGAGTAATTGTTGTTGTTGTTGAAGTAAAGAGAAGCACATCGACACAACAATGGTCATTTAGCACTGGGACAAACTAGGACAGACTGACAGAGGTAACAGAGGGAAAGTAAAGAAGTAGGAATTACCAGAGTTTTAGTTTTAGTAAGTGGTCTACGTCACTTGCAGCACATTAAGGTCATATAAGTGCCGAAGATAAGAGGTGTTACAAGAGAGTAACAAACTCAAAAAAGAAGGAGGGGAGATAAGGACGATGTTTGATAAGAAGGAAGAAGTAAACCACACCAGAGCAACCGCCACTAAGGACAAAATCAAGAATAAGAACAATCATAAATTTGGACTAATCCATTACCGAAACAAATAAAGGAAAAGAAGCTGAATCACTCTGTACTTTTTCTCATTCATAAAAATTTGAAATTTTGAAATGGTTCAACAGGTAGTCCCAACAATTCAAGAAAAGTTAGCACTAGACTGCTTTCATTTGGATATGTTAACCTAGCAAAGATTTATTTGATTGTCATTCATCCTAACAGTAACAGTTTTACCCAAAAATTGAGACAATTTAGATCATTTAGAAGGTGAGCTGCTACTTCCCTGCCTGCCAAGGTCGACCCAGGCTGAAAGGGACACCGCAGGCAGGTTGAAATACTCGATAAAATGACATCCCTAAGTAGGAATTGCACATCTTACCACTTGCCATAAAGCAAAAAGGATGAGACATACTTGAAAACTTGACTTTATAAAATATAAAATATGCTACTTGTTCCAGAGGTAGACAGCGACTGACAATAATAATAATAAATAATAATAAATAGCATTTGTATAGCGCATGTCCCCGCTCAACAGCAGGCTCTATGCGCTTTACACTATATTATTACCCCAGCAAACCATAGAACACTCCGAAACATTCTCAGCTTCCCGGGAAGCATACAGTGCAAGCAGCTGATTAAGCGCTCAAACACTAACAAACTGACAAGATCTTTCGCTGTCTATAGTCGGGTACCCATTCCCACCTTGGTGAAGTGAGGAAAATTCGTGTAAAGTGCCTTTCCCAAGGACACAACGTCGGGCCCCTGACGGGATTCGAACCTACGACGTTACGATTGTGAGTCCGAGAGCCTAACCACTAGGCCTGCGACGCCCTGGACAAAGCACAACTATAAAAATACAAGACACATTGAGCGACACTCACAAATGCCATGACAGATGAGACAACAAGGGAAAAGAGATGCAAAAAGAAAAATATCCCCTCACTACTTTCTCAATTTCTGTTGCTTCTCCACTGGACATATGTTCCAGCAAATCATGGTAAATCAACTCTGCTTGAGTTGAACTCACTTAAGTTGATCTTCCCTTAGGCTAATCTTTTTCTTGGGTATCAGCACCTCTTTTTCTTTACAGATCAGATCCCAACAGTAGAGTTGATCTTCGGATGAGTTAACCTTTTTTTCACTCCATCGACGACATCAACTCATCCGTAGTCGATTGTACAAACTGAAGCCAACCTTCAGAGAAAAAAAATTTCCCCAAACTGGATTTTAACCCACATCTTATGTGCATAACAGCAAAGAGATCAACTATTACAATACAGACGTCAGTTAGCAGAGCTTACCACTTTCTCAATTTCCGCTGCTTCTTCTCTAGGCATGCGGTCCAGCAAATCCTGGTACAACCGGACACCCACTTTCTGCTGATGTGTCAGATGTGCCTTTTCCTTGAGATCCTCAATGGTACGGAATCCCTTCATAGAAATAGATGATGCACAAGCAAAGTAAAAAAAAGTCCCACTTCAAGCCACAGAATTGGACGGAATAGACAGATTTGGCCAGACATTTTTAGAGTAAAACAAGAGAAATGTTCAATTTCAGTTTCAGTGTTCTGGAAAAACCACCAAAAGTTGTTTTCAAACTTATTTCACATGTTGAAAAATCCCAACCAGACTATTTGAGGCATTTTATGTGGCGACAAAGTAGGCCTATTGCCATTTGATTACAGAACACCAATAGTTTTCTACATCATACCAAAAAATTCTTAATCTTACTATCAATGTATCAACAGAAAAATGAACTTACGTAGCAAAAGTGTGTTTAGAAAGCTCACACAGAGTCACATTGGGCACGACCGTTAACAAACCACAATAGCCCCTTTGTTAGGTCCCTTTTCTGTATATAATGTATACAGTGTTGTCTTAAGTTTTACTCTCAGTCGCTCCTGAAGAAACCTTTAAGACAGGACATCGAGCCGTTTTAATAAACAATATTTCTTTAATTTCCACTGGTTGACTGAACATTTACACAAGACAATCCCTCCTCCCTCCCTACTCTACATTTTCTACAGTGAGAGATAAGAACAAACTGATCAGACCCCCCCAGGGGCAGTGCTACTGACTGAAGTGTCTTTAGGCCATTCCCTGAGGGGGGGACATTAACATCTCGAGTTCTTAGGCACAGTACAATTGTAATTGGAAATGGACTGATTCATCAATGTCATGCTCATAACTGTGCCTGAACTGCAACAGGGAACTGTTGCTTTTTCATTCCTAATCCTTACTATAATCCTTACTATAATCCTTACTATAATCCTTACTATAATCCTTACTATAATCCTTACTATCGTCATTTTCCCCCTACTTCTTTTGTTTTTGCCACACTCTTGTGACCCGTTATTTCCGGGGTGCCTTGATAGTCGAAGCAGACTTTGTGCTGTTGAAGCTAGAGAGGTGAGCAGAGTAAGTCTGATTCCCTGAAAGGACTTCTCTGTTGACATCCACCCCTTGGCGCTCATATGACCTTATGTAGTTGCAAGTGCCGTAAAACCTCTACTAAAACTAAACTAAAACTGATCAGACAGCCCAGATGGTGGAAACTCTCCCTCAACTCACTTGCTGAAACCATTGTTGTGCTGTGGTCGGCCCTGCTCCCCACACATTGGTGAATGTCTCAAGGACTCGAACCTCTTCACTTGACTTCAACTCTTGCAACTTCCTCAGTTCCCCGCTCTCCGCAATCTCCCAGATTTTGTCCGCCAGCCGTTTTCCAATAGCTGGCAGGGCCATTGCCTCCTGTACATGCAGACAAGACAGAGCACACCAGATTTAGCACTGTTACTGTTAAAATTGACACTGTTCAACACTAAAACATAAACAGCAGCCTAGCTGATATCTGCATAGAAGAAGCAAACATTGTGTATGAACCTTTATTCCCATACAGAACCAAATTTGTGCCATTCTAGTTACCTAAAAAGAACACAATAACCTTTTTCTTTTTTTCAACACAGAACATAAAACAAAAAGTTACACATAAGACAAAAATGACTTTCAAAAAGTCCCAGTCTTCAGAACATGCATGCACCTTTCCCCATTATCAGCTGCAATAATCTATCACTGCATGCCCCTTTCCTCATTATCAGCTGCAATAATCTATCACCTGTATATATATATTTTTTTCAAATACCAGTATAAAACTGTCAAGATAACACCTCAGTTGTTTCTGGTTTATTTTTACTATCTTACGTCAATCATAAAGAAAGGTTGACCACATGAAGCCGTTTGAAACTCTTGCTTTGATTGTCACTGCCACTTAATCATACCCAGATAATTATCTGACGAACTTGTTTGATCTGTTAATCTCTTCTTATGAGATTACTAATAGGCATTTCATAAGCAAAAGTGATGAGAACAAACAGAATACAATGCTATCAGAATACCTCCCATGACGAAATCACTTTTGGATGTCTTCGAAGTGCCTGGACAGCTTTCTGGTAGCCAAAGGCTCTCCATCGGTCATTGGTACTCTCGTATGCCTTGACCATTTCCTAAAATAGTCATTTCAATTTTGACAATTAGAAATTCAAATCACTTCAAGCTTATTTGACTTTTAAGCAGCACAATTAATAACAATGTCATCATAAAATGTGAGGGGTACGAGAGACTCTGGATCATTGAAGGATGTAGAAAAGATCTATGTTTGAAAGTAATTGATGAAGTATATATGTTATCATATAAGTGTAATATTACATAGAAATTGAAGTATAGTATAACATGGATAAATCAAACATAGAAGACTCAATCACGCATCAGTCGAACTGTGCCTGCGTTCGTGGGTTTTTTTTCTACTTTATTTTTGTACGATATCCCTCAAATTACGGATCCCTCGAACTACCGAGGCTGGTCCCGACGAATTTGAGCTATCTGTGTTATCCTGTATATTATTTTCCAAGAGTATTAGATCTATCTCACTAGTTCTGATTGTTTATCTGATGTACTGCACAGACATTTGTGTATCTGCTGTGCCATATACCATATTGTGCAAATAAATGTTGGACCAAAGTGCGTATTAATAAATCAATAAATTCATTGAAACTGGACATCTATCTTTTAACGCAACCATGAAGTCTCTGAAAAGTTCCATCAGCGTAAAATGAAATAGCTTTCCCACACTCAGGGAAACGAAACCGCAGACTTTTTTACCACAGTAGGGAGGCATACTAATGCTACTATACGTAGGCTACGACCACATTTACACGGAAGTAAATTTTAAAATAAAAATCCAACAAGGCATGCTGAATGCAGATGGTTACAGTTACAGACCTATGAGGGCTTTGACATTTGTGGAAATTAGCGGAACTGCTGGTTTTGGGTATTTTTGCTACTGTGCAGGAACAGGTGGCTTCCTTTTGTCATCTTTCCCCAAAGTGCCGCTACATTAAGTTTAAATGAGAATTCATGTCCCTCATGTTCAAGTCCACAGGATTGGGGTCAGCTCAGTAACAGTTGACAATAATTAATAATTTGTGAAGCGTGCTGACAAAATGAGTTACTTCTCGGATTCAAGCCTTAAGGAAATAGATTCATCATGCTTATATAGGTGAAATTGTTACAATTTATATATAAGTATGAAATAATAAAAGACCGGTTTCAGTTATATATGGCATCAATAGAAAAATCTACAAATTTGACCCTAATGTCGATTTTTGGCCAAAATCTTCATTTGTGGACAGCGAGAAGTAACTCATTTTGTCAGCACGTCTCACATTTCATTTTATGGAGAAGATAAATTTTTGGCAATGATGGCTTTTGCTTCAACTTCCTTGATGATAGGTCAGGCGGCTAATCATTCTACCAAACCTTCATCTAGAGACAACAGGCAAATTATATTGAAGTCATGTCAAAAATAATTTTTACTTACTTCTAGTTTATCTGTTATGTGTTTATTGAGATTTGGCTTTGGGCTCTTGGAGGATTGAGCACAAATCCATTTGTCAACCTGAAAACAAAAAAAGCTTATCAATCAGAGATTATTCATGATACATTTGAACCTGCCTTAACAGAAACCTGTGTAAAATGGAAACCTGTCTTAACGGAATCTCCACGCTTCCCCCCTTGATATAAATTACCTGTTTAAAATGGAAACCTGTCCAACGAGGAAATGGAAAGAAAAATCTGCTCCCTTCCACGGGTTTCACTAGTCTAAAACGGAAAATGCTTTGCCCGCTCAGCCCTGGTTTGAAACAAAACTCACAAGCTTGGTTCCCCCGGCTCTAAACTTAACCCCATGGACATGCCATTGGGCCAGGAAGGGGATTTGGGGAGCAGTTTGGGGGTAGATGTTACCTCATTATGTCAGCCCTGAATGATGCAGATGGTCAGGGTGGTGTGGGGGTGAAATCTCACGACTGCCCGTGAGAGCTTAGTGCTCAAGTAGCGAGCCACTATGGAAACTTTTTTGGGTAGCCAGAAGCCAGAGGTGTGAAATTAGATTGACCAATGCCTGCCACCCTGATCGTGCGGCCATTGAGAAAAGAGTTCCTTGAATCGTTGTTACAGGATGACAGTGAGGGGTGGCATTGGTTGACAGTGCTTGTTACATCGATGGGAGGGGCTAAGTGTGGAAGCAAAGGAGATGTTCAAACATTTCTGTTTTTAATAGGTCAAACAGCAGTCCTATGAAAGGCAAGCACTGGTGGTAATTGGATAAGTAAGACTGACGCATGTCATTATCAGTAATATCAGACAGGATTAGCAATTGAGAGGTGTGAAGTTTTGACCACTGCTTGCCGATCGGACAAGCGATCCTTGATCCCGCTGGCTGGACCTTTGAATCCCCCCCCTCCCCCTAAATTCCCCTGTCTAACATCTAAGACGGAATTTTTTTCTGGCTCCCTTGCGATTCCGTCTTACACAGGTTCGACTGCAATATTTCATGACCACAAAACCCCCCCCCCCCCCCCCCCCCCCCCCCCCCCCCCCCACCTGTCCACTCTAACTTAGTTCAAAGCTTCAAGTCCATTTTGTCATCAAATCATTCACTGACAACATGATTTTTAAAACCAAATTTTCACTAAAAACATAGATCTAGGACTTTTGATAAATTAAAAAAACTCACTTTTATCAAAAATGTAAATCTGTACGAGCATATTATTTATTTTTAAAAAACTTAAAATAGATCTACATTGCACATTAATTTTGATAAAATATTCGGAAATAATATTCATTTTGAAATGAAGATGACACGGTTATGTAAAAAAAATTATCATTCCATCCAGTCCCATGACATCCAAAATAACCTTCAATCAAGAAAAATTAATTCAAACAAGTAATTATGATAATGGGCCAGTTACATCATAAGAGGCATGATAGGAGCATTTTGTACAGATTTTATGAGTTTTATAAATGATGAAGGAATCAGTAATTTCATCCAAAAGCCATTTTTTTTTTTTTTTTTAGGGGTAATAATTAGGCCATCTCAAAGTAATGCTCTTTGACTTTGACCCCTCGTAGTGGACTCATAATCGCATAATCCATCAAGAGAATACAACCAGTATACATCTTATACAGTGGAATAATCCTGTTATAATGAGAGGGAGGGGACAGGTGCAAAATATCCGTTATAGCAGTATTCTCGTTATAAGTGATCCAGTAATAAATTCAAGGGAAATAAAAAAGTAGGCCTAATCTATGAGTTTGGTGTTCTGTTTTTTTTCTTTTTGTTATCTTCCCCGACGAAGATTTTGTTCAGTATTATAACCTCTAGGTCTTACATGATCAAAAATCGAATCAGGTTTCTTTCTCTAGCGCTAGCGATGTAGAAAGCACAGCGTTGGCTACCAAAAAGAAAGGGCTCTACGCTAACTCGCCAGCTGTGTTGTCCCCCACCCCACTACACCCTCAGTACCCAGTGCGTTTCGTCTTCTTGCACACTGGATACACACCATGACCTGCCCATGTCACACATTGCTCCATCCATCACAGCACTGGGACCTCTCCATCCCCGCATCGGAGAAGTGAAAGGCATGGTAGGCCAAGACAGTCTAGACCAGGCTGGCCTATCACGCGAAGCGTTCTGCTTCTTGTCTGCGCATGCCACACCCTCCCCACTCATTCACTCCGGCCTTCATTGTTGATTGGCACATGTGGGCTCTCCCATTCTTTGTTTCGCTAGTTCACCAACAAGTTTCTCAACTGAGTCAACTGGCGAGGTTTTACATGTACATGTATTGGCCTATGCGCTGCGCATAGCAGCAGCAGTATTCCGCTATAACAAAACGGGGTTTTAGAATAGTGTCTTTAGACTTCTCGTTATTTCAGGACTTGTAATAAGTGGACTCCACTGTAGCTGGTAGAGCTAGGTTTCGGATTTGGTTCCCTTACTGCTACACACAAAGATCATTTAGGCACCGTACAAAGCCTTAAAAATGATGCATTTTGCCAAGTCCCAAGCTGTATCGTCGATGGTTGTTCATCATGCCATGTGTGGAGACCTGGTGCCTCATCAGTGAAAATTGAATTTCTGCAATTGTGCAATATCGTCCATCAGCTGTTAAAATTACTTCTAAGCCCAAAATTTCTAATAAACATTTTTTTACTTCAATTTCGTAATTTTGGGTTGCTTGTGCACAAGAAGCATTTCGATGAAATTCACATTCTAAATACTAAATGTCGGAAAAAGCACTAAAAATACATTACAATTTAGAGGTAGTTGTGAAAAGAAAGAAAGAAAAGTTTTTTTTCTCTCCCCTGACAAATTTTGCTTTATGGCTAAGTAAATAGCACTTAGACTTTAAGTTTTATTGACAATTATATAGAGGAAAGAACACAATCAGTGATAAAATCAATGCAACAGTCTCAATTGACTTTCTGCACTTCTCTGTTAATATCATAGCTGATGGCAACCCAAACAAATTCAAAAAGACAATTGTAGTATGAAAAAATTATGACTACCAATTCCAGTTCCAAAGAAAGACAGAACTCTAACCAAAGATATTATTGTAAGCATGCAGAAGAGAGGAACAATAAGTGAATAAAGACTTACTGGGACCATTGGTTTTTGTGAGCTTAGAGGAAAGTTGGATGATGTTTGGGCGGCTTGGCTTTGTTCTTCATCATTATCATCATCGCTTGCTATGTAATCACTGTCACTATCCCCAGTAGTAGTTGAAGCCTGATGAGATGGCCCAGCTACAAATCCTGCTCTGCCAAAGTGTTGCTTTCCAGCAGTGTCAGAGGTCTGAGGCCCATTTTCTAAAGCTCCTAAACAAACATTTGATTTTGCGTCCCGATTAAAGCTTACTGGTGACGTATTTCTCTGCTCTTCACCCAAGACTTCGGGGGAAACTTTCTTTGCTGCCAGCTCATATTCTTGAAATGAAAGGAAACATTTACTCTTCAAACATGAACTTAACCACATTGACTTTACAACTGGAACATGTGGGGGTGTGTCCAACTTCATTATTCTCATCACTCGTTCCATGTCCATTTTATCATCAACAATCACATGAGATATTGAGTTTGAATTCGAATCAAATTCTGTTACAATCTTACCACCATTCTTTACTATTTGGGTCTTGAATATTTCTAGCCTTGCTTTCTCTATACAAGCTGGAAGAATAAAAGCCATGAGTTTGGCGAGAAACCCACTAGGTTTTTCAGCAGTCGTACTCTGGCTCTGCTCAGCATTGTTATTGATATTATTGTCTCCATCTGTGCCGGCCTCGTTTACCAGCCGTTTATTTTGGCCACTCGGAGGTAGATCTGACTTTCGTTTTAGTGATGTCATTCTCTCTCAAGAACAAACACAAGAGCCCCAACGCTAAATTAAAAATCTTGACATGGATCTAAATCATCTCCCCCCTGTCAGCTGTTTGTTGTTTACAGTGTTGTCAGCGGGGCAAGCTCGGTCGGAAAAGTATTTTTTTCGTTTACTTTTCGCTTCGCACAATCAAAAAGCTGACTCAAAATAATGGCAGACCAATATTTAAAACTTAAAAAACTTAATTTGAATTAATGACTCCAAGAAGTATGTAGGTCTAGAGACCTTGCAGCCTTTGACACCCCGCCTCGTAAGGCTACATAGATTTTTGGGTTTGAGATCAGCCTGAAGAAGCAAAGGTACAAGTACAATTTAGGACTCCCTGAATCTCTTGGTGTGTATGTATGTCCAGTGCGTACTCCATTATCTAATCAAGACTACGTGACACCGTGTGTTTAGTTTTACTAAGTAGTTTGTAGTTTTACGGCACTTATGCACAAATAGGCACAGAAGAGTAGAGGTTTTACTAGAGAATAACATATAAAGAAAATAAGGAAGGGATAGAGGTTTTACTAGAGAATAAGATAGGCCTACACATAGATTCTATAAAGAAATGAGGATCGAGGAGATAATTTAATAGAGGTTTTACTAGAAAATAACATGACAAAGAAAGGGAATAGGCGTAACATTCAAAGAAAATTAGGAGGAGATAGAGGTTTTACTAGAGAATAACAAACAAAGAAAAGACGAAGGAGGTGAAATAGTACATGTATTTGGACTTTAAGGACGACAGTTGTTCGAAAAGAAAGAATTTAAGGAGCATCCAAGGAGGTTATACATTAACCACTAACATTTTTTTGGTGAGGTCCTTGGGAGCAGCCCACAGCCACACTTGGGTAGCACCCATAGAGTTACCCCCTTTTAAACATCTATGGTCGCACCAACGATTCTTTAACTAGCCTACTAAGGTATCGAATAAGCGCCGCCCCCTCCTCCGCTCATTAATTTCCAGGGTATTTTTTGCGTACCCCCCCCCCCCCCGCTTCTTGTCCCATTCCCCTCGTTTATTATTTTTCCAGCTTAAATTGCCTCTCGACCGACGATCATGTGACACATTTTATTATAGAATCTACAAATCTGAATGACAAATTACCAAGGAGATTAGAACTTACTGTAAACTTACTAAAATCACACAAATTTCAAGATCTCTCGTTCTTTTATTCCCTGAAGAGAAATAAAACAGATTTATTGTTCTGTACTAGTACTGGGGTGAGGTTGAAAGTGCTATCCCCCCTCTCTCTTTTTATGCCCCCTCCTCCCCCCGTTTATTAATTTTGGACCACTTGTCCACCCGCCCCCTGTTTATTACTAACCCCCCCCCCCCCCCTTTATTCGATACCTTAGAGTAGTAAAGAATCTTTCGTCTCACCACCTGCAGAGGAGGAGGATGAGGAGGAGGAGGGGGAGGAAGAGAAGAATTAGAAGAAGAAGAAGAAGAAGAAGAAGAAGAAGAAGAAGAAGAAGAAGAAGAAGAAGAAGAAGAAGAAGAAGAAGAAGAAGAAGAAGAAGAAGAAGAAGAAGAAGAAGAAGAAGAAGAAGAAGAGCAACAACAACAACAACAACAACAACAACAACAACAACAACAACAACAACAACAACAACAACAACAGCAACAACTAAAATAATATTTCACATTAGAAAGTTAGAACTGCCAGTCCGAAAGAAAAATTGAGAATCCAACACGAAAACGAAACGTATAACAATATAATTTGCAATTAATGGATTCAACAGGATGTTGTAGACTCGTTGAACTGTCATGACCTCCGTTGTTACCCTACTATTAGTAACTTGGAAAAACAAAGCGAACGTTGACCTGTAATATATTTTTCCCTACAGAAGGCACCATTGTCTGATTCTGCTCCTCGAAACGTGTGAAAAATCAACAATTTTCTTCTCCTTGGTACGGGGATAGGCTTATTATTGCTAAAATATTACGCAAATTGCCGTGAATTCAGTACGTATGTTTAGGTTCGTGATCTAAAGCGATGCTTGTTAACCTTTTAGCGCGCTCATATGACCTTAGCAGTTGCGAGCGCCGTAAAACCTTATACTACTATACTACTAACCTTTTAGTTTTATAGCCAGCGCCCACTTTGGCCAATTTTAAGAGGCTTGTATTGTCATACCGACCACTTACGTTTTCTATTTCCGAGCGGGTCATGAAAATAACTAACACTTGTCACGACTCAGGTGATCCCCAACGCCCATCAATATGATCCAATCGTTCACTTGTGGAGGACATTGACAAGCCTAGATTACAAGCACTGCTCTACCTTAGAATTGCAAAGTTCTATCTGACATTTTCGGCCGTTTTGAGTTACTAATGCTAAGATTATGAGGTCAGAAACTAAACGATTTATCTACTCTATCAAAATCGTAAGGTTGTTCAGATAGTCGCTGTCAAGATATTCAAAGAATTGCGTTAATTGAAAAAACTGTTGTGAACCTCAAAGTATTTTACGTCAAATTTCTCAAAACTAGGTACTGAGCAGATAGAACCTGGTAATTCTTAGGGAGCGAGTTGCCAAGGTGTAGGGCCTATTTGTTGTAACATAACAGCCCCTGTCAATTTTGCGAGTCACTTGTAGATGGAGTGAATTAGGGGAATATAAGTCTACCATTAACAACACAACAGCAAAAACTCAATACCACCACCACCTCCACCAATTTAAGACGACCACAATAATAAAATGAAGGGGAGGGG